AATTTCATTAGTTTGCGAAAGTAAAATGTATTAAAGTATCTACACAAATAAATAAATCATAGATAAACAAAGAACATTGCATGGAATAACATACTCTAGAGGTACGATCGTGGACCGCTGCGGCGTTAGTTCACCGCACCCTCTGCCAGGTTCGCTGCGAGCGCGCGTTAACGGTTTTTAACACAGGGTAGTATAGGGAGTTGGGAGTCCTTATTTATTCTATTGGTCCGGGCCGATCAAAGATTACGAAAAACGTTCAATTTCTGTAATCTTTATTCCCGTTTGTGACATCCATGAGCTGAATTGTCTTGACTCTAAAGGGACTCTAGTCCATGGCAGCGTGTCAGCTAGTGTCAGCCTATTCGCTCTAGAGTCCCTTTATACCCAGAGTTAAGACAACTCGATTATCAGCTGACTGGCAGCCGGCCTTGGCTGGCCATGGAGGCCGAAACGAGTGCACCCAAACGAACGATATTGAGGGATAAGGATCAGGAATCCTGCGATGTCTGTCACACAAAAACAACAACATCAACAAATTGATCAATTAAAAAGAAAATGAGATTGGTTTGTGAATAATTTCTTAATCTATTTTCATTTTGGACCGATGGAAATAACAATTTACTCTTGATAAACCACAATTAGGTGATATTTTCATTATTCTTGTTCACATTCGAGGTACCGCCATCTTGGTGCACTCGTTTCGGCCTCCATGAGCGAGAACCAATCAGAATTGGATTTTTTTTTAGGCCACTTTCAGCCGAACCAAAAGTGAGTTGTCTTAACTCTGGGTATAAAGGGACTCTAATTCGCTCGCGACCAATGAAAAACCGGAACAGAAATGGCCACACTCTGTCCATAAAGGTACTCTACATCAAACCACTATCGAATAAAAGAAGATCGCGAAGAAACAAAAACCGTGCAACCCCAGCACTGTGTGCATCGACCATCGAGCTGCAGCAATGCCAAGGCTGCAGGCTGTGCTGGCTGCGGGAAGTCAACGGGCAATTGAATTAATTTCTCGAGTAAGAAATCCCACATTTCCTTGAAATTTAAGTGTCTAGTTCTGAATTTCAGTAAGTATTAATCAGTCGATATCAATTTTAAGATGTGTTCCCTGCGATGATAAAAGTTTACACGCGTATCACGCCTGTATCTGGAGATTTTCCAAATTTTCTTTACCAAGGTTCGTATAATGAAGTCTCACCAATTTCCATGATCCAAATCTATCTAGACATTCAGACGTCTGGGAAATAGGACCTAAGGCCTTGGGTCGATCAACCACCCCTTCTATGCATACCTAGTAGCAAGGAGCATCCTCACCTCACTAATCCTCTAATCCATTCCAATGTTCGGTTTGCATTCAGATGTGATAGAAGTTGCATTTATTTCTGTTCTAACTGCATGGTATTTGTACTGACTGATCTTACTGTAGTCAGGATGATTCAGAATCTACTGAGTTTTCACATTGTGTAACCTCTAAGATCAAACTTTAACCTATGTGGTTGGCATCCGAAACCACTCATCCGTGCGCCTGTTTTTAACCCTCCCAACCTAAACTTGTCAGGTCTGAAGCCCGCTTGTACTCAATGGACTCTATTCAGTTTCTCGTAATTTTGACGGAGCCTGATCATTGAGAGTACAAATAGATGTCAGCTAGATCTTACTCTCTAAATTGCATTTTCTCTACAGAGTACATAGAGTCGCAATGTAATTTGGAGAGCTGGCGCCACTTTTAAGCATTTTACAGGTCCCGAATTCTAAGACTTCTGTGTGACGCTGGGTCACTTTTTCGATACATGATTGATTGTTTGCGATACATGGGTACCCGACCATCCGAAGTTAACGAAGAAGATAGGAACTACCCCGAATTCCACACTGCCATTTTGGATCAAATGTGTATCGAAAAAGTGGCCCGAGCTCAGTGCACACTGGGCTCGAAACTTGTCATGTAGAACATGGCGCCAGCTCTCCCATTTACTTTATGACTATGTACTCTATGATTTCTCCTTAAGAAAAGTAGGTAGGTTGACGAGAGAACTTCTCAGTCTAGAACCTTTGCACTCCAAATCAGAATACACCTGCTGCCTCTGATTTCCCAGTCTGAAAGGACCCTACAACAAAACGGCCAAATCGGCCTAAACACGGAATCGTACGATTTTCTCAGGGATGATAGAGGGTCTTCTCAGACACTCAAAACTGGTCATGTTTTTTGCCTAACCCCCAGGGAAAAGGGGGGAGAGGGGGTCAAAGTCAAAACCTTTAAATTAGCATAACTTCTCAACGGTTTGTCGTAGAAAGATGATCTTGGTGTCAAAATTTCCAGAAAAATGAGAGCTTTCAGAATATATGTATGAAATTAATTAAATTTTACAATTTGACCCACTTTTGGGGCATTTTACAAGGTCCCCCTTTCGTAAATTTTCGTTTTTTCAGATTTTCGGTTGTTCGGTTTGCACGGATCAAGACAAAAACAATTTCAAATGAAAGTAGAACGTTTAAGCTTTAAAACAAGCCCAAGATCATCTTGGGGAAACGATTAGAAGCGGAGTTATGAGTCTTCAAAGTTGACGCGGCGCGCGGGAACCTTGTATGTTCCGAGTCTCAAGGTCACCTGCGCGCCCCGGATTGCCTGCAGGTTGCAAGTTTTTGTGTTTTTATGCTTCTGTAGGTCATTTTTAATGTAAATCATTCAATGAAGATAGAATAATCGAAATTTTTTAATTTTACGGGAGGAGCGAGAGGGGGCTTAGAGTATCAACCATTATGTCCATCATACCTCATTAAACATTTGCTGACGATGACGATTCTGCTCTTATAATTTAGAAGAAACCATGGACCCTCAGTTCAAATATACATAATGCTCCATACAGAACTGAACCATTTAGAAATTATAACCCATTGATGCCAAATTTTGGGGTACCCCTAATTTTAAATTTTTTTTAGTTGAGCTATAAGCTACAGCGCTTGACGGAACTCTTTTGGTAAAGCCAAATAGTTTCTCGTAGAAGCAGACGAGCTTTGAGCTTCAAGACAAGTCTCAGTTATTCTTAAGGGAGCTATTTGAAACGCAGTTAAAATTGTTCGACGTTAATGTGGTGTACCTCGCCGAAGGCCCATTGTGTAAAATTAAAAAATTTCGATTATTCTATCTTCATTGAATGATTTACATTAAAAATGACCTACAGAAGCATAAAAACACAAAACCTTGCAACCTGCAGGCAATCCAGGGCGCGCAGGTGACCTTGAGACTCGGAACATACAAGGTTCCCGCGCGCCGCGTCAACTTTGAAGACTCATAACTCCGCTTCTAATCGTTTCCCCAAGATGATCTTGGGCTTGTTTTAAAGCTTAAACGCTCTACTTTCATTTGAAATTGTTTTTGATTTGATCCGTGCGAACCGAACAACCGAAAATCTGAAAAAACGAAAATTTACGAAAGGGGGACCTTGTAAAATGCCCCAAAAGTGGGTCAAATTGTAAAATTTAATTAATTTCATACATATATTCCAAGATCATCTTTCTACGACAAACCGTTGAGAAGTTATGCTAATTTAAAGGTTTTGACTTTGACCCCCTCTCCCCCCTTTTCCCTGGGGGTTAGGCAAAAAACATGACCAGTTTTGAGTGTCTGGGAAGACCCTCTATCATCCCTGAGAAAATCGTACGATTCCGTGTTTAGGCCGATTTGGCCGTTTTGTTGTAGGGTCCTTTGCTTACTTTTTAGCCTTTATTGTCTGCAAGATTGTTGCATTTCGCTAGCTCCTTAAAGTGGCACAAGCAATTTTTCTCTCATGTAGGCCTCCCAGTAGTGTAACCCATGCACGGTGCCCCTGAACTCACTTTAAATGCGACTTTGTTGTACATCAAAAATTCAAGTTGGAGGTTGTAGTGGGGTACTCCCTGATGGGTTTTTGGGCAATTTCGAAATAGGTTGTCGGAGCTCCTCGAAAAATAATCGTATTTTTGTGGTTTTTTAGGGGTAAAATA